GCAATGAGAAGAAAGAAATATATATATATATATATATATATACCGAGCAGAAATGTCACAATCGATACAGCAAAAATAAATAGAAAGAAAGATTGGTACGATGCAAGCCACATATGCAAAATCGTGTTCCTCGACTTTTGTAGATTCTTTGTTAATACATCAAAGGCGCCCTTTTGAAATTCCTCCTTTTCCTCATCGTTCAACTGTTGATATCTTTCGATCACCTTTGCAAGTTTTTCTTGTACTTCATCCGGTATCGTACTGTCATTTTCAAATGGATTCACAAACTGTTCTTCCATATGGAGCACAACGAGTACAAGAACTTAATTTGGAAAAGAGTAGCAGAGGTCTGCACAAGTGCGGGATAAAAATTACACTGATTGAATATGTACAATCAAACTCAGCAATCGAGTGAACTCGATTAGATAAGGAATGTTTCAAAATAGCTGAGATACGATAGTTTCTTCAACGAAGCGACTTCGAAAACTGCATTTGTGTACACTCGGCGAAATAGAAGTATTAATGCTTATTAATGCCTCAATAATTTACAAATGCAATGAACGATATTTCAGTCTTTGTTGGATTAGCAAGACAGAAATTATCGAACTAATTAAAGATGTTATAAGCGTTAATCAACTATAAAGATGATCTATCAAGGACATTCGATTTATCGTTATTAATTCAATATTTATTAAATGGGAGTCCAAATATCGACAGAAATTATATCATTTTTCACAAACTGAATAAATGATCTTTTTGAATTGAGTTTTATGATTAATAAGAATTAACAATGTTATTTTATCTTAAATAATTAATAAATATAGCTTTAAATTGGAAATTTAGAATGTATTCTTCTACATTCTTTTATTTCCAAGAAAAAATTACATATATGGATATTTTTAATATATAATTATATAATATATAATTAATTTATTAAATTATATTTAATATATAATTTTATATAATTACATATACATGAAACATTTTTTCCCGGATTAAAAAAAATTAAATTCCCAAAAACGTAATAATGCGTCAATAATTTTGCATTATTTACTCGCAATTTAAGCAATACTGACAAATGGTAGGTCAAATCGTAAGATTCGCTCGAGTATATTTATCTCTGACGATAAGATTGCTAATTAAAAAATACTTCGTCTTACTAATAAAAATGACTATTTGAATTAAAAGTTGTAAGGAAATATATAT